TTGGCAGTTGGCTGACCTGAGTTTGTCATTTCCCTTCCTCAAAGCTTTAGAAGAGTTAACAAAATGCAGACAACTGCACAATTCTTATAATTATTATCACCCCCATACTATTCAAGTGCCTCCAGCTACCGCATAAGCCAATGTTTTTCCTCCACCTGAATGTTAGCCCAATTCATCACCAGTGAGGGTTTTTTCCAGATCCAAGGGCTATACTCTTTTTCTATTTCACCACCTTATTTCCCTTAGAAGCAGTGATAATGGGCATCCTTGCTTTACAGCTGTTTGCAAAGGGAATTTTTCTGACAATCTACAGGTTACATTTAGCAGGCTTCCAAATTAACCCGCCCTGGGGAGGTCTTGTGATTCGGGCAACATCCTGCCCCTGAGCAAAGAATCTTATTGCGAATTCCTCAGATTGTTAATGTACTAATTAATGCATAAACTACTGACATTGAAAAAGATACTATTTGTTTCTGAATCATGAAGTTTTGCTGATTATCTTGCATGAAGATATTTTAGCCTGTATGTTACAATCTGTAGGCAATGATTGTAACCTCTGTATTGTCCAGAGACCAGCACCTTGCCAGACACCAAACCTTCCAGTGCCTTGATCTTGGACCTCCCAGCCTCCAGAGCTGTGAGAAATACATTTCTATTATTTATGAATTACCTAGTCTGTGGTATTTTGTTATAGCGGCACAAACAGACTAAGACAGTATGGGAAAGCTATGGCCAGATAGGCCAAATCTGGCCGGCTGAGTATTGTTTAAATAAAATCTCATCGGAGCACAGTCATATCCATTCACGTATGTATTGTCTGTAGCTGCTGCCACACTGCAATGGCAGAATCAAAGTTATGACGGAATGTACAGCCTGCAAAGATGAAAATATTTATCTAGCCCACTACAGAAAAAGTTTGTCAACCCCAGCTTTAAGCCATACAATTTAATATGTTTTTTTCTGTGTATATATTATATCTCACAATTTAAAAAAAAGAAAGAAAATAAAACCCTTTGGGTTCTCCACTCATGTTGAGAACATATAGGTAATTGTTATGCCTTCATATAAGCAATTCTTCATTTGTATAAAACTAAGCTATTAATAAATATGTACAAATGGCCTTCATGGTGGAGGCTTTCTTTACACACTGGCTTATAATTTAGGAATGGGAATTAGTTGAGTCATACTTGAAAAACCTGGGGCCCAACAATCGAGCCTCCTGCCATCATTCCCCTTCATGATGCTGCAGGCAAATCCCTCGGTTCAAGGAGCACAGCAGGTGGCTGTCTGGGGTCATCAAAGGGGATCTGAAGAATCCTTTCTGTACTTGAGACATGGTGTTGGAACAGGGAAACACCAGGGAGGGTTACTGGAGGCCACCCTAGGGGGAAAGGGGTGACCAGGGAAGAGGATGTGTTTCCTACTTGGGCGCATAATACATTTGTAACAGCTACCCTGGAG